GTATTCTCACTTAGCTTCGTTATTTATACTAAAAAAATCCGAAATTAAAACTATGACGTAAATATTATTACTTGAGAAGTTGTTATATTTTATATTGATAACACTTGAATATGTATTAATGGGCATAATTTTTAATTCATCTTCACGTACATCGGTAGAATAAAGTAAACATGTTTGATTATAGCCAATGTATACAGCTGTTCTACATGTAGAATATCCAAAACAATAACAAATACAACTAGATTGATGGTGAATATATAAATACTTCGAAATCAGAGTTCCATTATGAATAGGATTGAATTGTGTATTATTATATATAACAATAGGTATGGTTGAAATCAATGGTAGATAGAAGATAACAACTGAATATATTAACATCAATTGCATATTACAAATATATCGTTCTGTAAAAGATTTTATATTTAAAAATTTTCTGACTATCAACTATTTGTAATGAATAACAATTTTTTTTCACGCTTAGAAAAAATATTATTCATAAAATAATGGCGTCTTTTAACACGTTCAAATCTATGTATTCTAAGTGTCGACAATTCAATTATTATTGATGTGTTGTACAAGTTTTGATATATAATAAAAGAGTTCATAAGGTTATCAATTATTCGCAAAGGCAAAAGAAATATTTCGTCCTAGATATGTACCGGATAAAAGAAAAACAAAAAGAACGTAAGATAACATACATATATGTATATGGCGATATAGAGAATACATGCTTTATTTCGTGTTTTTCTTCTTCTTTAGATATGTCTATCGATCATTTTAGTTTTAATTCAAATGATTATCATAAAACAGTATCATTTTATGAAGCTGTTTTGGCTACATTGGGTAATAAGAAACTAATAACAATTGAAGGTGACAAAGCAGTCGGTTTTGGTCAACGATTTCCAACATTTTGGATTGGTAATCGAGGTGATGCAAATGAAGAAAAATGTCACGTTGGAGTTCATATTGGATTTGCAGCTAAAAGTCGTCGTCAAGTTGATGATTTCTATCAAACTGCATTAAAACATGGTGCAAAAGATAATGGACCACCTGGATTTCGTCCACTATATCATCGGTTTTATTATGCAGCTTTTGTAATTGATCCTCATGGAAATAATATTGAAGCTGTTAATCATTTCGATTGGAGAGCATATGTTGGTTGTAGAACAATAATATTAACATGTTCAATTCTTTCTATTGGTATTGGTTTATTGATAAAAAAGTTCTTTTAAATTGTAATAGTTTACAAACATTAATAAAGCATTCTTTTTCTTCTCTTTATATAATTGCAACATTAAATGTCTACATTGAAAATGTAAAGAACAAATAGTTTCATGACTTCTTTATCTCGTCTTTTAGATTATTTGAAGTGTTGAGTCTCTACCTCGGTATATTTCATTTATCAGTCTATTTCAGAATAGAATGTTAGTTTACGCGCTTCATTTTATATTTTTGCTCGTTGTTGAAAGTATTACATCTCAACATGTACGAATTCAACATATGGATGTTGATACTCATCATGATGTAGTTATTGATACTCACACACCACATTTTTCATGGCAACTAGCTCAAGAATATGATAGTAACGGATATTTGATTAAAGATATTAAACAAGTAGCGTATCATATTATTGTCACCAAAGCTATTAATAATGAAATCGTTTGGAATAGTGGTTATGTATCTTCATCTTTATCTACACATATTTTCTATAAAGGTGTACCACTCATATCTGATACACGTTATACAGTTACAATCAAATATTATACTACACAATATCAAAGTCAATGGTATACTGCTCATTTTCGCACAGCACTCTTTTCATTGACTGATTGGGCAGGTCAATGGATTGGAAGTAATAATATCAATATGAATCAATTACGAACTATTGTAACTATGAAATCGACTAGAATTCAATCTGCTACTGTTTTTATTAGTGGTATCGGTTATTATCAATTGTATATCGAAGGACAGCAAATTGATAAAACACGACGATTAGATGTTGGATGGACTACATATCAACAACGAACACTTTATAGTTCATATGATTTAACTCAAATATTTAATAGTACTGATCAGATTGGTATTGGTATCATGTTAGGTCAAGGTTGGTACAATCGTCAACAATGGATCATTGGTCCAGGTGCACGTCCAGATCTTTCCGAGCAATATGGTTCACCACGTGTATTAATGCAATTAAATATTGTATATATCGATGGTACAAATCAATCTATTGTAACTGATTCATCTTGGTTAGGTCGAGAAGGTGAACATCGTTATGATTCTGTTTATATGGGCACAACAATGGATCTTCGAGCTGTACGGTCCTGTTGGTCATGTGCTAAATTTATCGATCCATATTCTTTGTGGATCAATGCATCAGTTTTACCATCACCAGTTAATTTTACAGCCGGTGGTCAATTGTCTTTACAAACAATGGATCCTATTCGTATTGGACCAGATGCGTTGCATATTGCAACATCAGGTAACAAGGGAAATGTTGATGGAGTTCAAGGTGGTAGTCTTACAGATGGTGGTGTACTTAAACCTATTTCACAAGATTCAGCCAATGGACAAGTATTTGATCTTGGTCAAAATTTTGCTGGTTGGTGTAAACTATCTTCATTGAATGCTCCTAAATCTACTATTATACAACTTCGTTATACAGAACTTCGATATTCACGTGGTCAAAATGGAATTGATTTTGCTGGTTTATATTATGAAAATTTAGCTAATATAGCAGTGATGGATACAGTTATTTTAAATGGAACAGGAAATGAAACATTTGAACCATTATTTACTTATCATGGATTTCGATATTTACTAGTAAATGGTTATGATAATATTAATAAAGATAATATTGAATGTTATAATGCACATAGTGAAACAACACTTATTGGTAATTTTAGTAGTAGTAGTGATGTATTAAATCAAATTCAACATAATATTCTTTGGTCTCAATTGAGTAATTCAATGTCTATACCTACTGATTGTCCACAGAGAAACGAGAGGCGCGGATGGTTAGGTGATGCAGGACTTAGTATTGATGAAACATTATTTAATTTTGATTATGTAAATTTTTATTTGAACTTTTTAACAATGATATCAGATAATCAATTACCAGATGGTAGTATAAGTGATACAGTACCATTTACAGTAGGTTTCAGTCCTGCTGATCCAAATTGGGGTACAGCATATGTAACAATTACATGGTATTTATATAAACATACAGGTGATATTAGTATTATTGAAAAATATTATAATGGTATACAAGCATGGATTGATTGTTTAAGTAATCAACATCAAAAGACAGGTTTAGCTAAAATGTATTTTTATTGGGGTGATTGGGCAACAGTAGATAGAACAGCTAATACATCATTAACATCGTCGTATGCTTATCTTCGTGATGTACATACATTTATTAATATGAGTCGTCTTCTAAATCATACTGAAAATGTACAAAAATATACACAATTATATCAAGAACTAGCTAATGAATTTCATAATGTTTTCTATAATACTCATCTAAATGTTTATGTTGATGGTAGTCAAGCAATGAATATACTTGCACTTGCTTTACCTGATGTTGTTCCAGTATCTCTTCGTATAAATGTTCTTAAGTCATTAATAAATAATATTGTTACAACTGGTCATTTTACTGGTGGTATTGTTAGTGTAGCTCCTTTATATCCTCTTCTTTCAATCGAAGGACATCATGATCTAGCATTAAAACTTGCACAATCAATATCTTATCCATCATATGGTTATATGTTTCATAATGATATTCAAAATGCTACAACAACATGGGAACTTTGGAATACATTACCACAAGGAGCAACAGCATCATTAAATCATCATATGTTTAATAGTATTGGTGCATGGTTTTATAGATATTTAGCAGGTATTGAATTGAATGGTCTTCAGACAATTACTATTTATCCTCGAATGTCTTATGATGCTCATCTTTTGAATTATGTAAAAGCTGAAGTTGTAACAATCAAAGGATCAATTCGAGTAGAATGGTCAAGAACATCAGTTAATACTGTAAACTTATCAATTGTGATACCCACCAATATGGATGCTATCGTAACATTTGATTCATTGATTAAGAATGGACAATGTGTAAAATTAATGTGTGATGATGAAATAATTTGGATGCGAGGAGAGATGAATGCTGAAATGAAATTGCTGAGAGATGTGAATGGAGTAAATGATTTACGTGAGAATAAGTTACGAGGTACAATGTCAGTGAGAGTAGCATCAGGTGAATATACATTTGTTGCTTATTGGAAATAAAACGCTATCTTTCACTAGTTTTATTTATCTTTTTTTTCGCTTTCTATGAACATTTTTTAATTAGAAGAGCCTGAATAACTTACCTACGAGTTTGTACAGCTTGTCCAGATAAATCAAGTAATCTGAACAATAGGTGCATATGAGTAAAAAACGTTTAATTTCATCCAGCTCAGCTTCTACACATTCGTATTGCTAATATTTGTACTAATGGTGTGATAGCTTCATATCAGTTCACGAGGTTAAACTATCACATTCCTGCTCTATAATAATTTATCTAAAGAATGTTTTTCTCATTGTTCAATGTATTCTTGATAAACTAATCTAAAAATATTTAAAAAAAACAGATTCTAGAATTCATTCTATCATCAAGTTTAATCATTTTTATTAAATATTTATCAACCTTAACTAATTTTAATTGCATAATAAACAGTTTCTATAATCCATTAAAATATTTGAAATCATCTATTTAATCATTTGTTCAACAATTCTAATGAGACGTTTTTTTAAAATTCAGCATTTATTTATTACAACTTTTCCCTGAAAATGATCCAACAAAATTCAATTTTGAAGAAAAAAAACAAAAAAATTTTTGTTCCTTGCTTTTTTATCAACATTTGTTCTATTTTTTCCTTGATTCTCAACAATAAAACTACACTTTTTCTTTTCTTTTTATTTCTCGGTTTTTTTACTCTATAAAAAAATTTCATTCACAAAATTATTTCAAATTTTTGAATTCGAGCATTTCCATCATCAGTAACATAAAGACTTCCTTGTTCATTAAATGATAAACTACTGGGACCACTGAATTGATCTGGTTGATCTCCTTCACCATTTCCACCAACAACAACTTCACCTTCTTCTTTTCCTTCACACCAACGCATTACTCGATGATTTCCACTGTCTGCCAAATAGATTTCACCCAAATCACCAACATATATTCCTTCAGGTGAAGATAATTGATTGAGATTTCCTCCTTTACCATTTCCTCCAGCCACAATTCTTCCTTCTTTTGCACCTTTTCTCCATTTCATCACACGATGACTTTCCCAATCTGATACATAAACAGATTGATCTTCATCAACAAAGATAACAGTAGGACAATTAAGTTGATTGAGTTGATATCCTTCACCATTTCCACCTGCTACTACAATTCCTTCATTGTTATATTCTCCCATTTTCCATCGTTTCACTTCATCCTTCATATAATCAGAAACATAAAGAAATCCATATTTATCCATTACCAAACGAGAACAGTCAATATTATTAATGAGAATTTGTTGCTTTTGATTCAACCATTGAACCACTCGTCTGTTCCCTTGATCAGCAATGATAATCGAATGGTTTTCTTGATCAACAATCACATCTATTGGTCCATTCAATTGATCTATTCGATCTCCTTCGTCATTCCCACCTGCAATAATTTGTCCTTCCTCTGCATTATATTTCCATTCAACAATACGATCGTTTCCACAATCAGCAATGAAAATAGTTTTGTTTTTATCAATAAAGATTCCATGAGGGCTATCGAGTTGATCTAATTCTTCTCCTTCTTCATTTCCACCGGCCACAGTGATGGCATTTTGTTTCCATTTACCCCATTTTGATCCTAGAAAATAATGAAAATAAAAGATTTTGATGAAAAGAAGAAAATTTTGTTTTTTATCGAAGAAAACAGAAAATATTAATTTTGAATAAAATGTTGATAATCATGTTTAATGAATACACAAATTTTATTTGATTTTTTTTGTTAAATTCTGAAAAGAATTTGTTAAAAAAACCGTAAATTATTCAAATTTTTTTATTTGAAAAATAAAAATAAATTCTTTTGAAAAGAGAAGAAAGAAAACATCTTTCAGTGTTTTTTGAATAAAACTTCGTAAACTGAAATGAAGAAATATCTCGTCTTAAAAGAAAAAGAGTATTTTCATCGAAAGATAATTTACCTTTTAAAACAGATTGTTAAATATTTGATTCAAAAAGAAAAGATTTTGTTGATTTATTTTTTGTTAAATAAAAATTTGAAAATAATTAATTTTGTTTTTAACTTAATATTATTTCATATCTTATCATTCTTTTCTTTTATATACAAATAAATTGAATTTTCTATTTATAATAATATTATTGTTATTGATTTAATCAGTCAAAAAATCAATAATATTCTTAATTTTTTTCTCTTCATCATTAGTTTTTCATTGTATTACAATTTTTCAATATAATTTCATCAAAAATTAGTATGTTTCTTTTAGAAATTATTTCTTAAAAACTTACTTCTTGATAAAATAAATGAAATTTCATTCATACATGCTTGTGAATATTTTTGAATAGAGATCTTTGATGGATCATTCAATTCTTCTGTAACTTTTCCCAATTGATTTCTTAAATAATTTAAGTTAATTTCATTAAAGTCATTTTCTGTATGAAGTTCTTGTATTTGTTTATTTAAGTCATTAAACTTATTTTCAATATCATTAATAAATAATCGCGATGATTCAATGACAGTTTCTCTACATTCTTGTGCTTTTTGTTGAATTTGTTCAATTGAATTTCTTTCCCATTGATTAATTTGTTCTATTAATGAATGGTTGTGTAGATTTTGTTTTTCTCCATTAATTCTTTCTGTAAATTCATTATAATCATCAATAATACAATTTAATTCTTCAGTTAACCCTTGCTGGTGTTCTGGTAAATGTATTAAACAAAATCTTTGTGAACATCCTTCACAAGGATATGTTATTTTTTCTTTCTTGCATGTAAAACATTGAGTTTTGTTCGCCATTGCGATGTTTTTGAATAGAAGTCTATAGAAAAAATGAATATCTATTTATTTACTTTTTATATATAAACTTAAGAAAGTATGCATGTACACACGTATGTATGGCTAGCCGACTATGTACACACACGTGTATGTGACTGACTAACTATTTACACATCTAGGTATAACCATTTTACTAGTAACTATAAACTAAATGTTTTTATCTTTTTAATAATTCCATTTAACTCTGTATCATGCACGTTATATATTAAAGTAAAACTCGTGATTTAATCGAGTTGATCATTGATCATGAAAACAATTGCATTAAAATGGTGAAACAGATCTTATTTTTTTTGTATTTCCTGAATTGGGAATATATTCGTCCCATTAGTATTATCCTTTTTAAATTTCTCTTTAACTAATCGTAATTAGTATTTAATTAACAACTTTATTATTTCATCGATATATAAA